GTGTCATTGTGACGCTATTCATTCATTCTTTTTTAGAAGAAGCTTTTCGGTTTTTTTTTTAATGTAAATCATCAAGAGTATAACCCGTTTAATTTAAAACAGTCGAGATAAATAGTCATTCCATTTCCAGTCCTCACTGTAACGTTGTAGTGTACATTATACGGTACTTTTTAAATATAATCAATAGCTTAGACAACAAAAAGCAGTCGTTCATACGATCTTATGATCTTTCAGAATTGACGTTACATACAAAAGCTATTCTCCTTTAAAAGCAGTATTAATTCATTGACTGAAAAACATGTGGTAGTTGTTTGAGATACTTCCTAGTTAGTCAGAACGAAACAAAATAAGCGAAAAATGTATACGGCTGCTGTGAATAAGAACAAGGAATAAGATAAATCACCGATGCTTTTTTTATTGCAACTAGAGAAAATATTGAGTGTTTGGTATTTATATACTAACTTATATAAAAATCGAGCTCTCATAATAACTGAACACCAGTAAATTTTAAACGGCTAGCCAACAAGCGTCTTATAGATCATCACACATCAGCGAAAGGACCATCGCACATCAGCGAAAGGAACATCGCACTTCGGCGCAGACCATCGCACTTCAGCGTGACCATTGCACTTCAGCGTCCCCATCGCACTTCCGAGTCCTACACATATATGTATAAAAATAATATTTAGTTAGGTTTTAATTAATTGATGACAAAATCAATATTTATAACGATAAAAACAATATTGATAGATCTAATAACAGTGTTGAACTGATAACCTATAAGGACAAGAAATCAAATAAGGACAGACAGTCAAATAAAATAACATTTATATGTGCAAAATGTAAACAACTAGTTGAGCATAATATTAACTTAACCATTGTCATTTAAGTTTGTGACTAAACAATCTCAATCTTTATACTTCGATAACCCGAATATTTACTTTGGATGACCGTTCAAAACACATGTGTGCCAGATTACCATGAATGGATAAGTTAAGCTAGTTGATGTTACAATAGGCCCTTCTTATGTTTGCTTATCACTGAACTTATCAATGGATTACGCTTGATACACAACCATGACAGAAATTGCTTACGATTGTTTTTTTTTTCCTACTCAATATTTATTTTTTTCTGTACACCTTGTATATTTACTGAATGTACTTCCTTTTTTTTATTGAATTAATTCGTATTCGTATTGCATATAAGAAATATTACAAAGTTCGAATTCATATGTGATTGATTGCTGGTTGCTTAACGTCCAGTGGCAAATATTTCATGCATGTTCAGGACGATCAAATACAATGCACTCTTAAGCAATATGATTAATATTTCAAAGGGAAACAACTATTTTGAAAATTGTTGATCGGAACCGAATTTCGAAAATGACCGAGACATTGCTAATATAACCTTTGATATAAATTTTATAAAAATCTGTTTAAGAATTGTACACATGAGAGCGCTTACAAGACCGGACGGAAGGATGCACGGAAGCACGAACGAAATTACGGACGCCTTGAATTTTCGAACTTGTCTTGTTGGTATAACATGTATAAACCTTTGATAAAAATTTGATAAAAATCGGGCAAGAATTGTACAGGTGAAAGCGCTTACAATGCAATTTTTCATATAACTTATATTTTCATGGGCATAACTCTTTTAAAAATAGTGACGGCACTGATTTTCGAAATTGTCCGAGACATTGCTGATATAAACCTTTGATATAAATTTCAAAAAAATCTGGTACGTATTGTACACATGAGAGCAAACGGAAGGACGCACGGACGGATAGACGGACGCAAAGAACAGACACCAATATGTCTTCCCTTATATGTGATGTGGATAAGGAATAAAACACATAAAGAGCTAACAAATGAATTTTAGTTCTAATAGAAATATTATTGATAAGTCGTTGTCCGTCTTGTTGAATCTATTTTTCAAGCATTATTAATGGCTAGAGTAAGGCTTTCCGGTAAAGTAATATTTCATAATTCTGACTAACATCATCAACATTCTAATTTTATTCATACGAATTTGATCCCATGTAGCATCAAGAATCAATCAATCGTCGGGGAAAGTCACAATTCAGCAGATATATACTTATCATGTCAAAACTTTGTAACGAATAATGGCTGACTGTCCATATGGAATACTTGATAGGAAACATTTAAACCAAATTAAGTTAGAAAGTTTTCTATGAATGTTGGAAGTGTAAATTTCACCACATAATGTTCAAATGAAGACCTCGTCTTGGGATTTCAAAGTTCAAAGACATTTTTGTACTCTTTTTTTCCCTTGCTCGTTGTAAGTACCGTCAAAATACACTAACATGTCAATATTGACAAACTATTAAAAGTCATTGACAGAAACTACTACGGACTTTTACAAATATAAAGCAATCATAATCAGTTAGTTAGCAATACTATAGAATAATGTGTATATATCAATTACAATTTTTTCTTAAAATTGCCCGTGTAGTTTGTTGTGGAAAGACAAAAAGGTTATAGCACAAAATAATTGATTTTCAAATTTTATAAAATCTTCACACTTTTATTTTTATTTAAGAACACTTACCAATTTATTACTAGAAATACTTATAATGTAGAAAGTAGGATTGTCATTTCAAGCAAACAACACCATCTTTAATGTGAGGATAAAAAATGTACTTTTATTTATAATTATAATAATTATAATAATGAAACAAAGATATCGATTGATTGTTGTTTGTTTCGCGTCTATACTAATTCAAAACGGCATGGGTTTTACTACATGAAGTACTTTGAGTTGAAACCGTTTTTCTGTTTCCTTTCAATGAAGATTTTAGATTGAAACCATTTGCTGTTTCATGCTCTAACAGTTCAATACTTACCTTTTCTCAATTGAGCTCCAAATGTTACGTAATTTGGAGCTGACAAGAATCCGTTAACTATTAGCTATATCAGATATTCAACATTGGTTTTATTTTTTGTTTTATTTTACACCTTCACAAAATCTCGGTTTTAGAGTTTGTCACAGACCATTATTGTGGTTTGTACAGCAAAGTTACTGAAGTGCACGATGTCGGTACGACAGTTATAGTATACAACTGAAATACATCTATTATTTATAAACAAGCCTGGTTTCTCATTTATAATATTAGCATTGAGGTAGCCGTCTTACAATGAAAATGTCAATACTGCTTGAAACACAAACCTGGACCCCCCTCCCTAACCCCCCACCACACACACCCATCAGGTATCATAGAAAATTAGAGTTAATTATTACGAACTATAGACAAAAGACTCATAAGAGCCTGCATAACTCACCTGGCAAAAATATCATTTTTGTATTTATTTCACTTTTATTGCAATCCGTTATTTCTACTAAACAGAAATTAAAACCCAGCAAAGATAATCTAGTCTAGATTATCTTTGCTGGGTTTTAATTTCTGTTATAGTTTCCAAGAAAAGAATTATTCGTCGATCATAAAGTGTATCTTGGTGATAGTTTTTGTCGGTTACAGTTTCTCTCTATTGGAAAACAATAGCCGAATTGGGATTCAAATTGTGTATTCTTATATGTAGATTAGAAGGCCACGGGGCGGATTAACTGTTTTGTTAACTGTGTAACCTTCTGAAAATAAAGAATTTATTATTATTATTATTATTAAATAATCATATAAGGAGAAAAGTACATATAAATAATCGCTGTTTGATTGATTGCAGCCAGTTACAACTGCTACCATGGAAATAATTTATTTGTGGATCCGAAATTATATCTCAATCCGCCAAGGGCGGAGAGGAGGGGACTGAATTGTAACTTGGCTAGCGAAGATGGCATTTATCATGCTTTTCAATAACATATGATCAAATCGCTGAATGACCCCCTCCTAAATTATTGAAAACTACCATTATGCATTGACAATAATATCTAGGTTTTAATTAGATACACCCGTTCGGGCTAACTCCCTCAAGGAGTATCTAATAATTATATGATTGGAATGTTCTATTTAAACATAGAACAATTTTAGAGTTCAGCATGACTTCTTAACGAAGTTAGTGAATTCAATCAGAGTCATTGATTTTGAGAAGCTATTTACTTGAAACTTAAATTTCAGTTTACTGTGACGGGGTTGCTTCCCTTCATATATGTAGTAGATACTTAGCCAGCCGTAAGCGGTTGATCTAGGCCTGTCTCCACCGGGACTGGACACGAACCCGGGACCTCTGTGTTACAAGGCAGCGCTAAAGAAGTACTTCCCTAGCTCAACCGCTTACGGCTGGCTAAGTATCTACTACATATATTAACGGAAGCAACTCCGTCACACTCCCTCCTTTCAAGAGTCATTATACTATAATGTTGATATCGTCAACATTTCCCGGGCTAGGTAATTCTTCTAACCTGGGTTATTACTGTTTGGAGCCAAATGTAACCGGAGAGCATGATTTTCATAACAAAATCGCCTGTCTCCACCGGGACTCGAACCCGGGACCTCTGTGTTACAAGGCAGCGCGTTAACCGACTGAGCTAAAGAAGTACTTCCGATGTTGTAATGAAAATCATGCTCTCCGGTTACATTACCTATGTATTTAAATACATTAATGCTATATAACGTTAGTAATTCATCACTACATAATAATTCCGTTCTGTTAATTAAAGATCCTGCAGGAATCGTCGATGTCTTCAACACCTGACATGACCCTTTTGGGGTTAAACCAGTTTTAACCCACTTTTACACCTTAAACCTGGGAACAGTATAAATATATATATATGTTCCTGCTTAAACCTTTCTTGACTTTACAATGACAAAAACAAAAACAAAAATGAGAAAATGTTGAAAGTCTTGAAAACGTCTGGAGTTATAATTATACATTTTTCTTCGTTAGCACTGTATATCATAATATTAAGCTCAGGTAAACCAATAGATTGTTTAACACGCTGATTGGCTATTATTGTAAGGAGATTTTCTTCACAAACACAATATAAAAAGTTTAGAATGAAGACGAAAACTTCTGTTGTCGTTTATTGATTATTGATAAGTGAGAGATGTATGTTATTGTGATCTAGAAATGGAAACATACTACGATTCTTAGAACTACGATTTATAAAGATTTACAAATAGCGGGAAAACTGCGACACAAAAAAGTCATAAAAGACCTGTGTTTAAAAAAAACTATAGTACAACGACTTGTTAAAGTTTAGTATGTATAAACATTTTTGATTTATTTTCAAACAATGGATGTAGAAATCTGGAAGATAAGTTTGTAGATAATGGTTAACTCTAGCAATGTGAGTCTAGTTTTCCATCCCGGTCCTCCGTGGAACGAGTCAATATTTTGGACTCCAGATTTTAATGACTCAGATTTAGGTTTATCGGATTTCGACGGAATTATTGAAGCGTGGAAACAAAGTTTGATCACTTTAAACCAGCCCAATACAATTATTTTGATAGCTTTATATGTGCCGGTATTTCTGACCGCTATAATAGGTAATCTGACCGTACTGTTTGTGATTATACCAAACCGACGGATGTGGAGTGTTACCAATAATTTCTTACTTAATCTGGCTATAGCAGACCTGTTAGGTAAGTCAACTTTTAATAAAGTAAAATTTACACGTCATACAGTATGTATTGTACGATTAATGTTCTCGTTTTATAACCATCATTACAAGATTACTAATTGTTTCTTTTCTTTTATTGAATTTTGTTTTTGAGAAACAAAAATTTAAACAACTCATAGTCAAAGACGACAATTAATTATAACACTTTTAGTTTGAAATTAAGAATGTTGTTATTTATGATATGTCCTACTGTTTTGTTAAAGGTAACCAGAGATAAATTATATGTGTTACATCTGCATACTGCATGTCCCAATATCCCTGGTCACTAATTAATCTATACCGGTAACCAGAGATAATGTGTTTTGTCTGTATACTACATATCCCATAACGTAAAATAGGTAACATAATTACATCGTACCATTCCGGTAATAGGTAACATTGTTACATCGTACCATTCCGATAATAGGTAACATTGTTACATCGTACCATTCCGATAATAGGTAACACAATTACATCGTACCATTCCGGTAATTGGTAACATTGTAACATCGTACCATTCCGGTGAACAGGTAACATTGTTACATTGTACCATTCCTGTAATCATGGAACATTGTTACATCGCACCATTTCCGTATAATCAGGGAACATTGAAATATCGTACCATTCCGGCAATTAAGTAATGAGGTAACGTTGTCACATCGTACCATTCCTGTAATCAGGGAACATTGTAACATCGTACCATTCCGGTGAACAGGTAACATTGTTACATCGTACCATTCCGGTAATCAGGGAACATTGTTACATCGTACCATTCCGGTAATCAGGGAACATTGTTACATCGTATTATTCCTGTAATCAGGGAACATAGTTACATCGTACCATTCCGGTAATCAGGTAACATTGTAACATCGTACCATTCCTGTAATCAGGGAACATTGTAACATCGTACCATTCCGGTGAACAGGTAACATTGTAACATCGTACCATTCCTGTAATCAGGGAACATTGTAACATCGTACCATTCCGGTGAACAGGTAACATTGTAACATCGTACCATTACTGTAATTAGGTAACATTGTAACATCGTACCATTCCTGTAATTAGGTAACATTGTAACATCGTACCATTCCTGTAATCAGGTAACATTGTAACATCGTACCATTCCGGTTATCAGGTAACATTGTTACATTGTACCATTCCGGTAATCAGGTAACATTGTAACATCGTACCATTCCTGTAATCAGGTAACATTGTAACATCGTACCATTCCGGTTATCAGGTAACGTTGTCATATCGTGCTACTCCGGTTATCAGGTAACATGGTAACCTCGTAACATTCCGGTAATCAGGTTACATTGTAACATCGTACCATTCCGGTTATCAGGTAACGTTGTCATATCGTGCAACTCCGGTTATCAGGTAACATGGTAACCTCGTAACATTCCGGTAATCAGGTTACATTGTTACTGCGTACCATTCCGGTTATCAGGTAACATGGTAACAACGTACCATTCCGGTAATCAGGTAACATGGTAACAACGTACCATTCCTGTAATCAGGTAACATGGTAACAACGTACCATTCCGGTAATCAGGTAACATGGTAACAACGTACCATTCCGGTAATCAGGTAACATGGTAACAACGTACCATTCCGGTTATCAGGTAACATTGGTACATCGAACCTTTCTGATAATAGGTAAAGCCTGCTAAAACGACCACCAGCAATATAAGAAAGATATTTATATAAAAACAAAGAGATGAGGTATGATTGCCAATGAGACACCAAAGTTCAAATAAAGTGGATGTGAGCAATTATAGGCAACCGTACGTCCTTCAACAATGAGAAAAACCCATACCGTACAGTCGACCATAAAAGAACATGAGATGAAAAACATGAAAGAACCCAACCGAGAAAACCAACGGCCCAATTCACAACAAAACAACCAACAAAAAACAAACATGACAGACATGAACCAGCGACAACCACTGAACCACAGGCTCCCGACCCGGGACAGGCACACAAAGAATGCGGCGGGGTCAAACATGTCTGCGAGCGCCCAACCCTCCCCTAACCCGGGACAGCGGTGCAACAGCACAATACAAGAACAAACTATAAAAATCAGTTGAAAAAGGCTCAACTCATCAGACCGACACAAGGCAGAAAAACATCAAACACAAACACAGACCGGACGTGGCAGGGCACTCATCCCCCATCCCCAACAACAAATCAAATCAAATCAAATCAAATATTTATTATTCCAATCATGGTCCCACAGGGGGCATTTACAATTAACAATTATGATAGTATAAGCAACAAACATGAGACATTGTACAGTATATAACGTGACAGATATTATAATAGACAATGAAAATAGCATTAATAACAACAATACATTAAAAGTACTCTTGAGTATTTTTTTTCCTTCCTTCCTTATGTCCAGCAGTGTAAAAATAAAAAAAAAGGTATTAATAATAAAGTTTGATCAACCTTCAATTATTATCTATAAAGATGGAAACTTGTTCATCTGCAGGAGACACCAAGGGACGGTGCTCTAGGATATACTGTTGATTGCGATAGGCAATAACAGCAATCCTCCCCGTGTCAGAAGCAGATGAACAAAATAAATAGAGAAACTGAATCCGGTCAATTAACAAATAATTATTATTATTTTTTTTTTTTTTTAAATAACAACAATTATTAATTATGCGAAACATGTCATATAAATCTGCTATTTGCAGTGTTTAACCAGGAATATACATAACTCTTTTAATACAGTTAAGTTCTCACAAGACAACAGCCATAGCAATTTCTCTTGGGAATTTAAGTTAATGAAATTGTGACATGATTCCGAAATAATGTGATATAAATGGTGTCTGTCTTCGTTATATTTTGTGCAATAAAAGAGAAAATGAACTTCATCTTCAATATTACCAGAGTTACACTGCTGACATAGTCTAAGGTGTGGAGGAGTACCCTGGTATCGTCCTATTTCAATCTGCAAATGGTAAGATGACACCCTAAATTTTGTTAATGATCTCCTAAGTTCAAAATTGGACATGATATTTAGATATTTTTCGAAACCATAATTATTCTTAAATTTTACATAAGTGCGGAGCTTCCCTTCTGAATTCTTGGTCTTGAACAACAAAAAGGACACCAAGTACAGATCAGAGAGTACCCACAGTCACCGACAGACAGTTCAAAGTCAACAACAACTAATAAAAAACCATGTATCTAAGACTAAAATATCAATCAGCACACACCCAACATCCAATTGACCCAGTGCAAAGACGTCATTAACAGTCAGAGCTAGAAAAACACGACCTTCCTCAATGCCAAAATGCTAAAAAGACCGACAGACTGCAGTACCATCAAAGTGCACATATTTATAACAATACTATCAGTATGACCTTAATTCACTGACAACAAAACCAACATTTATACCAACAAAAACAATATTTAAAGATCCAATTATAGTGTCGAATTGGCAACCCCTTAGAATAAGTTCATCCAAAGGATTGATAAGTTTACCCGGATCGTATATAAATTTCCGGGCCCGGCAAACAACACCATCGTAAAACTTAGGATGTGCCACTCCGTCTGAAATAAGTCCCCCACAGTTATAGCCAAACTTGCAAACCAAATCTTTGTATCCATGGAAGATAAATAAAATGCCACCAAACACGAAAGTCAGTAAGTATAGTCAAATGAAACAATGACCTGACATAAATGTAAATAAGTATAGTCCAACGACGACTTAACACATAGCTCAATGGTGACAGAAGACTAACAGAAAACAACAAGTTCATTTCATTTCAACAGACTACCATAACTGTTATATGGTCTGTTTTGTTTTGTTTTGTTTTTGTTTTTTTCCCCAATAAATCTATCATCTGAGCCACAATGATCATTCATAAAAAGGGTAAGAACTTACGTTGAAGACCTTTTAAAAGTTGAATGTATTACCGGCCATGACCAAAAGAGCAGAAGACGAACAGGTCATCTTGTATGCACCTAAAACATGCCGTCTTAAATAAAAGATAAATGGTTTACGAGACAAGAAATATTTAAACATAACAATAAACAATGTATAATAAATACTACACATGTACGGCACATTATTGAAACAAACCACCTGTTACTGCTCGCGACATAATTAATTAAAAAAGCTAATTTATATCAGCATTTTAATTATATATTTTATTTGTGTGTTTATCATAACAAGTATATTAGGCTAAAATGCAAAGTGACTGATCCTTTCATAAAAAGTCAAACTGTAATAATTATATGATTAGGACTTTTAAGTCCGCAAATTTTTTTCTGTATGTTAATGAAATTTAATACTTCGACAATGGTCACAATACATGTTTACGTACAATATCATAAAGCTGATTAATTTTGAATATGTTTTTATGCAGGGTTATGATTTATGTTTAGGTAAATTCGGATGTCCCTTTTAACTTCTTTTAGGTTGATCGGAGAGCATATATTTGTGCGCTCACAAACATGTTTAACCCCGCCACGTTCTTTATGTGACTGTCCAAAGTCAGGAGCCTGTAGTTCAGTGGTTGTCGTTGGTTCATGTCTGTCATATTTGTTTTTCGTAAATTGTTTTGTTATAAATTAGGCCGTTAGTTTTCTCAATTGAACTGTTGCATGTTTTTCATGTCGTGGCCTTTTATAGCCGATTATACGGTATGGGTTTTTCTCATTGTTGAAGGCCGTACGGTTGGCTATAATTGCTTACATCCACTTTAGTTGAACTTTGGTGGATAGTTGTCTCATTGGCAATCATACATGTATCACATCTCCTTATTTTTATATTAATAAAGGCGCGCCTACACATAAAATATAAATTTACATATATTCAATGCCCAGTGTTTTTGTAATTCTGATGCATACATTTGTGGTCTTGAGATTTTCAATGAAGTTTGCAGAACCGATAACGTTTAGTAAATGGTTTATTGTTTTGTTGAATAGTGGTCCCTCCCTGAAAATTCTTGTTCGATGTAACCTTTA